GCGACACAGAGTGGGAGACAAAATGGCCAAAGGGAGATAAAGGGAGGCAAAGTGGGAAACAACGTGGGAGACAAAGTGAAAGACAAAGTGCGAGACAAAGAGGGAGACAAAGCGGGGAAATAAATCCGAAACAGAGCGGGAGACAAAACGGGGGACAAAGGGAGACAAAGTGGGAAGCAACGTGGGAGACAAAGTGAAAGACAAAGTGCGGGACAAAGAGGGAGACAAAGCGGGGAAATAAATGCGAAACAGAGTGGGAGACAAAATGGGGGACAAAGGGAGGCAAAGTGGGGAACAACATGGGGGACAAAGTGAAAGACAAAGTGCGAGACAAAGAGGAAGACAAAGTGGGGATATAAATGCAAAACAGAGTGGGAGACAAAATGGGGGATAAAGGGAGACAAAGTGGGAAACAACGTGGGAGACAAAGTGAAAGACAAAGTGCGGGACAAAGAGGGAGACAAAGCGGGGAAATAAATGCAAAACAGAGTGGGGGACAAAGAGGGGGACAAAGAGAGACAAAGTGGGAAACAACGTGGGAGACAAAGTGAAAGACAAAGTGCGAGACAAAGAGGGAGACAAAGCAGGGAAATAAATGCGAAACAGAGCGGGAGACAAAATGGGGGATAAAGGGAGACAAAGCGGGAAACAACGTGGGAGACAAAGTGAAAGACAAAGTGCGAGACAAAGAGGGAAACAAAGCGGAGAAATAAATGCGAAACATGGTGGGAGACAAAATGGGGGACAAAGGGAGACAAAGTGGGAAACAACTTGGGAGACAAAGTGAAAGACAAAGTACGAGACAAAGAGAAAGACAAAGTGGGGAAATAAATGGGAAACAGAATGGGAGACAAAATGGCCAATGGGACATAAAGGGAGGCAAAGTGGGAAACAACGTGGGAGACAAAGTGAAACACAAAGTGCGAGACAAAGAGGAAGACAAAGCGGGGAAATAAATGCGAAACAGAGCGCGAGACAAAACGGGGGACAAAGGGAGACAAAGTGGGAAGCAACGTGGGAGACAAAGTGAAAGACAAAGTGCGAGACAAAGAGGGGGACAAAGCGGGGAAATAAATGCGAAACAGAGTGGGAGACAAAATGGGGGACAAAGGGAGACAAAGTGGGAAACAACGTGGGAGACAAAGTGAAAGACAAAGTGCGAGACAAAGACGGAGACAAAGCGGGGAAATAAATGCGAACCAGAGTGGGAGACAAAATGGGGGATAAAGGGAGACAAAGTGGGAAACAACTTGGGAGACAAAGTGAAAGACAAAGTGCGGGACAAAGAGGGAGACAAAGCGGGGAAATAAATGGGAAACAGAATGGGAGACAAAATGGCCAATGGGACATAAAGGGAGGCAAAGTGGGAAACAACGTGGGAGACAAAGTGAAAGACAAAGTGCGAGACAAAGAGGGAGACAAAGCGGGGAAACAAATGGGAAACAGAGTGGGGGACAAAGAGGGGGACAAAGAGAGACAAAGTGGGAAACAACGTGGGAGACAAAGTGAAAGACAAAGTGCGAGACAAAGAGGGAGACAAATGGGGGAAATCAATGCGAAACAGAGCGGGAGACAAAACGGGGGACAAAGGGAGACAAAGCGGGAGACAACCTGGGAGACAAAGTGAAAGACAAAGTGCGAGACAAAGAGGGAAACAAAGCGGGGAAATAAATGCGAAACAGAGTGGGAAACAAAATGGGGGACAAAGGGAGACAAAGTGGGAAACAACTTGGGAGACAAAGTGAAAGACAAAGTGCGAGACAAAGAGGGAAACAAAGCGGGCAAATAAATGCGAAACAGAGTGGGAGACAAAATGGGGGACAAACGGAGACAAAGTGGGAAACAACGTGGGAGACAAAGTGAAACACAAAGTGCGAGACAAAGAGGGAAACAAAGCGGAGAAATAAATGCGACACAGAGTGGGAGACAAAATGGCCAAAGGGAGATAAAGGGAGGCAAAGTGGGAAACAACGTGGGAAACAAAGTGAAAGACAAAGTGCGAGACAAAGAGGGAGACAAAGCGGGGAAATAAATCCGAAACGGAGAGGGAGACAAAACGGGGGACAAAGGGAGACAAAGTGGGAAGCAACGTGGGAGACAAAGTGAAAGACAAAGTGCGGGACAAAGAGGGAGACAAAGCGGGGAAATAGATGCGAAACAGAGCGGAAGACAAAATGGGGGATAAAGGGAGACAAAGTGGGAAACAGCGTGGGGGACAAAGTGAAAGACAAAGTGCGAGACAAAGAGGAAGACAAAGTGGGGATATAAATGCAAAACAGAGTGAGAGACAAAATGGGGGATAAAGAGAGACAAAGTGGGAAATTGGAGACAATTAATGCAAAACAGAGGTGGGGACAGAAGAGGGACAAAGCGGGGAAATAAATGCAAAACAGAGTGGGGGACAAAGAGGGGGACAAAGAGAGACAAAGTGGGAAACAACGTGGGAGACAAAGTGAAAGACAAAGTGCGAGACAAAATGGGGGAGAAAGGGAGACAAGGCGGGGAAATAAATGCGAAACAGAGCGGGAGACAAAATGGGGGAGAAAGGGAGACAAAGCGGGAGACAACCTGGGAGACAAAGTGAAAGACAAAGTACGAGACAAAGAGGGAAACAAAGCGGGCAAATAAATGCGAAACAGAGTGGGAAACAAAATGGGGGACAAATGGAGACAAAGTGGGAAACAACTTGGGAGACAAAGTGAAAGACAAAGTGCGAGACAAAGAGGGAGACAAAGCGGGCAAAGACATGCGAAACAGAGTGGGAGACAAAATGGGGGACAAAGGGAGACAAAGTGGGAAGCAACGTGGGAGACAAAGTGAAAGACAAAGTGCGAGACAAAGACGGAGACAAAGCGGGGAAATAAATGCGAACCAGAGTGGGAGACAAAATGGGGGATAAAGGGAGACAAAGTGGGAAACAACGTGGGAGACAAAGTGAAAGACAAAGTGCGGGACAAAGAGGGAGACAAAGCGAGGAAATAAATGCCAAATAATGCGAAACAGAGCGGGAGACAAAATGGGGGACAAAGGGAGACAAAGCGGGAGACAACCTGGGAGACAAAGTGAAAGACAAAGTGCGGGACAAAGAGGGAAACAAATGGGGGAAATCAATGCGAAACAGAGTGGGGGACAAAGAGGGGGACAAAGAGAGACAAAGCGGGAGACAACCTGGGAGACAAAGTGAAAGACAAAGTGCGAGACAAAGAGGGAGACAAAGCGGGGAAATAAATGGGAAACAGAGTGGGGGGCAAAATAAGGGAACAAAGGGAGACAAAGTGGGAAACAACGTGGGAGACAAAGTGAAAGACAAAGTGCGAGACAAAGAGGGGGACAAAGCAGGGAAATAAATGCGAAACAGAGTTGGAGACAAAATAAGGGAACAAAGGGAGACAAAGTGGGAAACAACGTGGGGGACAAAGTGAAAGACAAAGTGCGATAAAAAGGGGGAGACAAAGCGGGGAAATAAATGCGAAACAGAGTGGGAGACAAACTGGGGGAAACAACGTGGGAGACAAAGTGAAAGACAAAGTGCGAGACAAAGAGGGAGACAAAGCGGGGAAATAAATGCGGAACAGAGTGGGAGACAAAATGGGGGATAAAGGGAGGCAAAGTGGGAAACAACGTGGGAGACAAAGTGAAAGACAAAGTGCAGACAAAGAGGGAGACAAAGCGAGGAAATAAATGCGAAACAGAGTGGGGGACAAAATGGGGGATAAAGGGAGACAAAGTGGGAAACAACGTGGGGGACAAAGTGAAAGACAAAGTGCGAGACAAAGAGGGAGACAAAGCGGGGAAATAAATGCGAAACAGAGTGGGAGACAAAATGGGGGACAAAGGGAGACAAAGTGGGAAACAACGTGGGAGACAAAGTGAAAGACAAAGTGCGAGACAAAGACGGAGACAAAGCGGGGAAATAAATGCGAACCAGAGTGGGAGACAAAATGGGGGATAAAGGGAGACAAAGTGGGAAACAACGTGGGAGACAAAGTGAAAGACAAAGTGCGGGACAAAGAAGGAGACAAAGCGAGGAAATAAATGCCAAATAATGCGAAACAGAGCGGGAGACAAAATGGGGGATAAAGGGAGACAAAGTGGGAAACAACGTGGGAGACAAAGTGAAAGACAAAGTGCGAGACAAAGAGGGAGACAAAGCGGGGAAATAAATGCGAACCAGAGTGGGAGACAAAATGGGGGATAAAGGGAGACAAAGTGGGAAACAACTTGGGAGACAAAGTGAAAGACAAAGTGCAGACAAAGAGGGAGACAAAGCGGGGAAATAAATGCGAAACAGACTGGGAGACAAAATGGGGGACAAAGGGAGCAAAGTGGGAGCTAGGGAGTGCTAAGGTGATGGCCTTGACATCCCCCACATCATGGGAACAAAGGATGGTCCAGTTGTGGGCAACCAACGTGCAAACAGAAACAGCTTCAGGATGCCAAAATGCTTCAACCCGGAGCAACTCCGGTCAGAGCAACGCTTCAGAATGTCGCTGGCAGAGAATGCATGCTGGCCATTATGCACACACTACCCATTCAGAGTCGCTCAGAGCAACGCATTCCATGAATTCATATGAACTTGATAAATGTCCATAAATTTGCCATAAATGCCAGGGCTGAAGATTGCGTGAGCCCACTAAGACGATGCTCATTTTCTCCGCTGCTCGGCTGTCTCTGTCTAGTATCTTTTGCCAGCAGAACCTGGGTTTGAGGCTGGACTGCACGCCTCAAACCCTAAAGCAGAAAGTGAAGCCTTCAAAGCATCGTAAGTTCATTCTGATTTCGTTCCGATTTCATTCTGCATTTCTGACTGCTCTCTCAGGAGCATGCTGCATTTAAGGGTGCAAGCATGTTAGACTTTGCCGTGGCGTGTTCTCAAAGATAACAGATAACAAACGGATGCCCAAATGCATCCTGGTCACACCATCTTGGATCAGTTCCAGTTGTGGTGGCCAATTTCAACATGTTTCGGAAATTTGGCTTGCACTGTTCGACTCACTGTT